ATTAAATGGGTAAATCATATATTAGTAATATGTCACTTCAGTCCATATATAGTTTGAAGTTTCTCTTTGGTGACCCTATATTTAAAAAAAAAAAAAAATTAAATGAACTGATTGGCGTCGACTTCTTGTACTTATCCATGACCCAATTTAATTGATAGAGGATTTTTTGTTTCGCTAACAAATAATCCAACGCAGGGGGAAAAACAGCCGAAGCTAAAAGGCTTCAAAACACTTGGACCGTTGGGCTCTGTCTTTTCTAGGTTCAAACATGCACGTAGAATCATGTGTAGTAGGTTCATGTATAGTATATAGACTGTTATTGATCGATTGATGAGATTTTCTTGGGCTTCAAAACCCTAATTGGGCTGTTGGCACCAAGTCATTCCTCGGCCCATACATAGACATAAATGCACAATAGAAGCAAATTATAAAATAGTCCCTCTTTTATTTTCAAGAAACAAAATAATTAATTTTTCCATACCTTTCACTACTTACATCAATTTTATTTTTGTATTTTTATTGATTTGTCGACCAATAATTTATCAGTTCTTAAAACCCCAACACACCCATATTTTTGTTTTTGATAAATCGAATCCATAAAAAAAATTTGGAATATTTTTTGTAACCATGTCTTAAGTCTTAGGTATAATCTACATTATAAATCAACAAGACAAATTTGCAAGCCGTGCGGTTCTGCCCGCAGTCAGCATGGCGTTGTCGCCATCACCAGAAAAGTAAAATTAAGATCGAGGAGTAATATTTAATTGGCGGATGCCCTCAGTCTGACGGATCTGTCTGAATTAATTTTTTTTCTAAGCTGAAAGCAATGAATTTGCCTAGAAAAGTAAACCAAAATTTATGGCTAATTCGTTGCCAGGAGTCCACCGCCCATTTTGCGAGAGCTTGACACGCTTCCATCATTTGTAGAGCAACAGATACATCCCCTGTACCCACTGTCACATGCTCGCCATGTGACCAGGAAACGCAACATTTCAAAAACCGGGGCAATTGTTGCCCCCAGAATTGCAGGCTAATCAACACCCCCAATTTCTTTTTTGGAAAAAAATGGATTGGGTTACGAGACGGTCACGAGTCTCTAATTTGATTACAAATTAAATGATTCCTTTTTAGTTTTTGTCTTGTCGGGATCTGGGAAAATTGCATATTCCATGCCAGAATTCATGTGCTCTCGACAGTGACTCGATCCATGCAGCATAGGTTCCGTTTCCTATTTGGGTTCTCTTATCCATGCTCAATCCTTAACTGGTCGACAACAACATAATTACAAAATTAACCCCATGTTTGGATATTTTCTTTTGAGAGAAAAGAAAGAGAAGAAAAAAGTGAGAGTAAAGAAAAATAAGAGAAAAAAATTATTTTTCACTTGTTGTTTGGATAAGAGTAGAAATAAAAGGAAAGAAAGAATATTTTTTTTGTTTTGATAATTATAAAAAGAGGGAGGAAAAAAATATTATTGTATATTTACTATAATACTCCTATAATTAAATTTCTATATTTAAATACTTATAATAAATTTGTATGAATATTTTTTTCTATTAAAATTACACAAATGATAATAAAATAAAAATCTAACATGTAATATATAAGATTACATTCTTTAGTGATAATACTTTTGATATATTAATGTTAAAAATATAAAAAAGTAGCTTAAAAAAATATCAAATTAATGATAATATATTTTTATAAAAGCATATGTATTGCATTACCACACGTACTTACTCCGTTTTACCTTAAATTAAAGAATAAAAATACTGTGTTATAGGGTGAAAAACAAGTAAAAAAATAGATATTTTTTAGAAAATCGAAAAGGATTGTGCTAAAAAATTACTGTAAACACCAATCACAAAACCTTATTGGTCTCATATGAAGTTAAGTAAAACACATATGAGTAAGGATAAAAACATAAATAAAAAAATTATTAAGCATCATGATTTTCTTTTGCTTTCCTTCCAATTTTGGAAAGAAAATGAGTTCTGCCAAAAAGATATTTATTTAATATTTTTTTTTATTTCTATTGCTTTCGTCTCCAAATCAGACAGAGGAAAACTTTTCTTTCTGTCCTATTTTCTTTACTCTCCTCCGCTTTACTTCCTATCCAAACAAGGGGTAAACCTCAGCAGGTGGTCCTAGAGAAAACTGTTTTAAGCGATTGCGGCTACAGACTAGCTACTGCCCATAGAGATAAGACCTTGCAAGGACACTGGGGTCCTGGGTCAACTGACTCGGGTCCAACAATATTTGAGCTGGCAACTGCATTGTAATCCAAGCATCGCGCGTTTCAAGGACAGAGGCTAGCCCACCGTTTTTTAAACCTAAAGCAAGAAAATGTACTGTTTAGGGGACCTACTAGTCCAACATATCTTTTATCTTGTCCGTATTAATGGGCCCATTTCTCATTATCTAATTTAAAAAAATTAAGAAAAAAAAAAAGGAGGAAAAGTTTGCTAGCTATGCAAAATCTTTCATAACTGGCAACCAAACGTTGCTAACGAGAAAATGAAATGACAGTGATGTAGGTGTAACCTATATCCGAAAGAATTATTATCTTCATTTTAAATCGGGGATCCTTTGAATTTTCACAGTGATTAAAAAATTTATTAATTATTATAATTTATCAACATCATTTATTTATATTTATTAAAAACTATCTTTTCTAAAATTAAATATTTTAAAAAATTATATCATTTAAATTTTCGACTTTTATTACAAATATAAATAATTTTTTTATATATATTTTTATAACAGCGAAAAATATACCAAGTCCACATTAATCTACATTAATAAAGTTTTTGACACGACATAATGAATTAATGATCCCACTAGCCTTCCCAGTCAACTTTTCCTGAGTAAATAATCCAAGAGAATTGAATTGTAGCATGTAATTGTTTCCTCGTCTGATATGGTAAGGACAATGTTCTGTGTCATTTCTCTCAACCGCAGTGGTTACAGACTCGTGTAAGAGCAGTACTAGCTACTTTACGCATCTCGTTGTAATGTTGTCATCGCTGAGTCAGCGAGACAGGTTTTTCTAGTTACAAGCTAGCTAGATGGTTTAACTGGGTGATCTTCCCTTGTATGATTGCATTAGTCAAAGGATTAGTCAAAACTCGTATGGTTTTTATATACAAGCAATTAGATATGAGTAAAACTGTTTAAGAAACTTATCAGTTATAGGAGGGTGAATTTCGCGAGCAGAATTGATTTGAATGACATTGCCAAAATATAATATCCATATGCCAATAGACGAGTCAATAAAATATGTTTGGACGAGGTATAACAAAATTTGTTTTGGTGAATATAAAAAAGAAGCGTTTAGCAAGGCGAGCAAATGACTCGCAAAAAAAATAAAAAATTAGGCATGTGTTAAAAAATAAAATTATCAATTTTTTTTCTTTGTTGAAGCGTTTTTATTTTACATTAGATATAAAATTAATATTATTTAGAATGAAAATAATAAAGTCTAATATTTTTTTAAAAATATGATTTTAGAATTCAAACGTTGTATGTTGATAAAATATTTTCTCAGAAATTAATTTATTTATCGTTAAATTAATAAATCATTAGTTAAATTCATCAAATGTTATGATAAAAACAAATAACTGATTATATTTATGTAGTTATTTTTTAATTATCTTATTGAATTATTTAATTATGCTCGAGGATAATTATTTTTTTACTACTATACGATGATTCATATGCAACAAAGATTCAAATCAACTAATCAACAATTGATAAAAAATTGGATTTCCAACACTGGTTTCATCATTTTTCCTTCTGATATATAATTGAAATGAACTTACCATAAATTTATTGGAGACATCATCGATAATAATTTTATTTTGAGTGACATTTTTTCACTGTTAATAAATCCACGTGTAATGATGCCGTGCAAAGCTTCACTTTATGCTTCGCTCTTTTGAGAATTCAGACCACAATATCTAACTATTAATTACTAGCAACGAAGTCTGAGCGTGTTCAAGCAAGGTATCATTTGCAAGACCGAAAAATTATTTGCCACTAATATTGATTTAGTTTTTAATTCTGTCCAGATACCTTCCATACCTTTTTTTTTTAAATCAAATCATTAAATTAAAAAAATATATATCAAACCAAGATTTACAAGTGAATTATATCTTATGAAACATGCTTTTGTGAGCAAATTCAACATTTAAATTATTTTGACAAGCCTAGGCCTATTTGCAGGCTGCAGGAGCTGTTGCAAAGCAGCGAATCCAATGAAAGCAAAAAGCTCTCCAGGAGAAATTGAGTCTCCCAATTAATTAAACAGACACAAGCACTGGAAAATTAGAGCTTGAGTAAATTATTCTGTAGTCCATATATTTTGAACGAGATTATAACTTATCCCTTCTTGCTAGGAAACCAATAATCCAATCCCTTGACTCTTCTTAACAAGTGTTATGTTAAATATCTTTTGATTTTTTCTTCATTCGAAACGCACCGTTTGATGATTTAAATTCTTATAATAAAATTATACAGCTCAGTTTAGAGAAAAACCAGTTGGCTTTAGAACGGTCAACAAATAAATAAATAATAAATCATCGGTTTCAAATATAAAGGATCAATTTAAGATGTAATTTGAAACTGAGGGACTAAATTATAATTTACTCAACTAGTTATGAAAGAGAAGAGGTTTCTAGAAGGGCACCCAAAACATATCGTGGGCTACAAAATTACAGTGTCAGCTTTTGCTTGCTTGTAAGGTACAAGACTCTTGCATGCGCCGACGGTTTTCTGAGTCAGCATGTACAGATCCAAAACATCCAAATGGATAAGCCCGTAATTATTTAACCAACCAAACTAACTATGGTTAACCAATCCCCAGCTTCCCTATAAGTTAGAAAGTCACCCAACCCAACCCCTCAACATCCTTAAACCACATAACCCAGCAAAACAGAAACAGCTTCCTCTCATTCACCAAATAGAAAGAAGGAAAGAAGAAAAAAGCTTACTTTTCAATCATGGCCGCCACATCTTCTCTTACCTCTTTTAGCTCTTCCACATCTCCTTTCATTGGCTCAAAAATTTCCACCAGTCTGCCTTGTTCAGCACCGCCGTCTCGTGTCAGCTTCCGCCCTTGTCGAGTATCCGCTGCCTGTGCTTCCACCGCCGAGAGACCCACATCATACATCGCTACACCAACATCAGCATCATCTCTCTACGAAGTTCTTGGGGTTCAAATGGGTGCCACGTGTCAAGAGATCAAAGCTGCTTATCGAAAACTGGCAAGAATTTTGCATCCCGATGTTGCAGCTAACGGTCAAAGGAAGGACACAGCTTATGAGTTCATAAGACTCCACGAAGCTTATGAAACTCTGTCTGATCCTGCAAAACGGGCAGATTACGATCGCACCCTTTATAGACGAGGAAGACAAATGAGCTCTCCGTTTTCAATGTCTGCTGCTACTGCAACAACAATGGCAGCAGGTTATGCTGCTGGTGGATTTTCTGGGTATACAAGGCAGAGATGGGAAACTGATCAGTGCTGGTAACTAGGAAAACAGGCTGCAAAATGATAGATCCTAATCGATTTTTGCTCTTTAGATTGCTAGATGAAATATTAAAATGCAGTATTGACCCCCAAATCCTCACATCTTGGGGATCGATTGCTGTTGTAAATAGTTAAGATTGAACATCAATCTCTTGTATCATGTCTCAAGGCGGTATTTTTTTCAGCCTGAAATTATTAATTCTAACTCTTGTTAAGGTTTTGATTTTGGTAATTCATGTCTTCTGGTTTGACATTATATTTCTGCTGGTTTTCCATGGTAAGCGATGTATATATCAAGGAAATTGAATTTTATTTATGCAGAATGCTTCACTAAATTTGGAGTTCTTATTTTTGTTGGTTCCAGAAGGATTTGGAATGATAGATAAATAAGTTCGAAATAGACTTTTAAATTTTTAAACTTATTTATGGAAAATTGACAGAGAGTCCAATATCTATAAGCCATATGCATAAATTTTGTCCTATAATTGGACGAGGGCATAGAAAATCGGAAATTTTCGTGGCACAAGGCAACTGGCGTCAATTTTCAAGATCTACTAACAGGATATATCCCTCCAGGATTTGTAAACAGGCCACACCTTCCAATCTCTCAAAAATTCTTGAGAGGTTTGGATAGATACAGAGAGGTGGATAGGAAAAGTGGATGGAAAATCAAATTTAGATGTTTAATTGGATGGCGCTGTCAGGCGTAAGAGATCAAAGTGGTAATTCAAAAAAGATATAGCAGCTCCCCAAAAAAGGTAAAAGTTTGCCAAAAAGTAGTGTCAAATGCACTAGCATGAGAATGAAATAATTACCAATAGTTATTATATAAATCCATATTAAAAAAGAAGATAAACATAAAAAGCAGAGAAAAATTACATCTATTCATCGAAGTGAAAAAAAATATTTTCATTTATGTTTTTTTTTTTTTGTATTTATATTTTTTATAAAAAAATGTTGTTAATTGCTTTTGAAATAAGACAAAACTTCTCACTAGCTGATGATGGTGAAATTGAAACTTATCGGAAAAACAGAAAAATCCTCTGATCCATGCAACATATTAAAAAGCATGACGGCAAATGTGGTCAAAGAAAGCCCATTGCCATGAGCTTTGAGGACAATGATTGTGAAAGTTTTATGGGCCGCGTCTAATAGGCCTTAATTTCAGGAGTCGGTAGCGTGCGCTCGTGCAATGAGCTCTCCGGGCTTGCTTGATTATGGGCCAGAGCTGGACTCTACTCCATGAGTCTCCACGGAGCATAGTGACAAGTAGGATGGCGATGGCTCGATGGATGCCGCCTTTAAGTCAATGGCTCGGTTGTCGGTGTCTTGGGTTTGGTTATCGAACTGAAATTGGAAAACAACGAAACATCCATGCCAGGGATGGAATCTCCGACATGGATATGATTGCAATCTACAATGATACGGAATTTAAGCTCAGTAAGAACAACGCGGTCTTAATCAAGTCCCTTGCCGCTCAAGCTGGCAAATGCTTTGATTTTTTTAAGCACGGCAAAATATATCGGTACATCAGTACATGGACCCTTCATGCCGACTTCTTTCTTGTTGATTTTTTTTTTAACTTTTCGTGTATAAAGCAAAGCAAACCGGAGAAATAGTGATGGGACATTTGTGGGAAAGTGAAAGATAGCAAAACACAATATATTTTTTATTGATTGAAAAACTAGCACATATTGAATTATTTAAAATCCATAAAACTAATTAATTGTAGCCCGTCTCGCACATATTCCACTAGTGTTTTTTCAGAAGCTTTACACCAGCCAATAAAAAGTCCAATAATAACTAGAAAACCAACTTCATTGACTAGAAAACCAACTTGAATGAGGACTAGTAACAAATCCTATCCTATGTATAGGAGGAGATCAAATTCTCAAAACATAAAGATAGAAAATTAATATATATTTAGTCTATTTCCAAAATCCTTTTTTAATCTCAACTTAAACACACACATATATATATATATGAACACGGCTAATTTCATCAATCACAAAAAACTCGAGTGAGAATTGAAAAAAAAGAACATTATCTTTTTATGTAATCAAACAAACTCTTCATTTTCACGTATTGTAAAATGAAACACCGTATTTAAAATAAATCTCAATCACTTACTCTTGATAATCAAAGAAATATTTCATTTTCATCCACTTATTGTTGCTATCTATATAAATCTCAGTCACTTATTCTTGATAATCAAAGAAATACTTAATTTTCATCCACTTATTGTTGCTTCATATACCGTAATATCCTTTAACTTTAAGAATTTATTGATATCCAAAAAATCAATCCTCTATTTCCCCTTTTCAAAGACAAAAAGACTTCTCAATCTTGTATTCTAATTTAAAATTTATCAGATTAATCTCTCTCTCTCTCTCCTGTGAAAAACATAACATGGATTCTATATATTTTTAAATTCCTCTAATAATTCATTCTTATCTGTTTTCCTCCCATAGATTCTACCTCGTCCTTATTTTTGCCATTTATTGTCTAATAAAATAATTTATCTAAGTCAAATTTTGATAATTTTAATCATTCGTCATTAAAATTAGAATCCAAACTATGATTTGACAACGATAAATTTTTCACATTAATTTTTGATAACCTTTTAATTTAACTTACGAATTTGTCATCCACTTTATAATTTGACAAGAATAATTTTTCAACTTGAATTCTTGAAAGAGAAATCCTACAAATTTAGTTATTCAATTTCAATTTGTGACGATCTCAATATTTCTTTTTCAAACAAACAATTTTTTTCTTCATTATATTTATATGAAGATCCAAATTATTTACCAATATTCGTTGGAGAATTTTGCAGTAAATCTATTTTTTTAAAAAAAACTTTTTATTTCTTAAAAACTTGTTTAAATTTCAAATAACAATCACGCCGAGTTAAATATTTTACTTTAAAAATATCTTAACTCCAAATATGAGTAGTTAAATGCAATATCAATAATGTTTTTTTTCCTCATTTTCGTCCCAATTTTCTAACAGTAAAAAAAAAAAATTGCATCCAAGTTAATTATATTCCAAACATTATATTCTTCAATATATTTTTGTTTTTACAAACTTTAAGTTCTATAACCACCAAAATTTAACTTTTTAAATTTCTTTTCCATTCATAATATTTAAAAATCACCAAAGAAAATTTTCTTTCCTTCATAAAATTTCTCTTCATTTTTTAAATCCGAGCATATCTCGCCTGCAAGAACATTACATCCTGATGTTGCAGCTAACGGTCAAAAGCAAGACACAACTTATGAGTTCATAAAAGTACAAGAAGCTTGTGAAACGCTGTCGGATCCTAAAAAACATATAGATTGCGATTGTTTGCTTTTTAGATATGGAAGGCAAATGAGCTCTCAATCTGTAATGTCTGCAGCAACAATATTACCTGGCACAATGATCTCGGTTGGGATCATATATATATATATATATATATATATATGAAGGTTTATGCGTTTGAGCTATATGATTGGAATATTTTTTTATTATTATTATGTAATTATGAAATAAACTAAAATCATTAAAAATCAAACTTATTTTATTGAAAAAAAAAACTATCAGACACAGAACTATTAAATTATGTATGTTTATGTAAATGGAATGGTATTGACTACTGACTGCAATGTTGCAGATAGGCCGGACTGGACCTCAATGTTGTTATCATATAAATAGCACTTTTTAGGCTGGAATTATAAAATGTATTTGTTCTGTGCCTGTGCTTTTCATATTGATGTGTTCAAATGGTTCACGCACTCCTTTTCTGTTATGCTACAATTAGTTTTTTATTGTTCAAGAATTAGTATTTGATATAGCCATTTGATACGAGTTAGGTTCCTTCCATGTCGAAACCCTGAAAAACTACTAACAAAAAGGAAAAAAAAATAGAGAAGACAAACCCAAAATCTCAATTTTTTTTTAAAAAATTGAGGGAGTAAGGAATAAACTAAAAAAAATTGAGGGAGTAAGGAATAATAGTTTTCAAAGAGAAGTACGGGCATAAAAAAAGATACGATGGGCTACAAACGCACAGTAGCTTTTACTTGCCAGTAAGGTACAGGATTCTCGTATACGCCGACGGTTTTCTGAGTCAGCATGTAACAGATACAAGAACATCAAATGGATAAGCCAGTTATTAGTTAACCAACCAAACTGACCATGGTTAACCAATCCCCAACCTCTCTATAAATTACAAAGTCACCCAACTCAACCCTTCAATGTCCTTAAGCCAGACAACTCCACGAAAAAAACAGCTTGTTCTCATTCTTAAAAAAGAAAGAAAAAGGAAAAGGCGTCTTACTCTTCAGTCATGGCCACCACATCTTCTCTTTCATCTTTTAGCTCCTCCACAGCTCTTTTTATTGGCTCAAAAATTTCCAACAATCAGCCTTGTTCACCACCGCCGTCTCGTGTCAGTTTCCGTCCTTGTCGAGTATCCGCGGCCTGCGCTTCCACCGCCGAGAGACCCACATCATACATTGCTACACCAACATCAGCATCATCTCTCTACGAAGTTCTAGGGATTCAAATGGGTGCCACGTGTCAAGAGATCAAGACTGCTTATCGAAAACTGGCAAGAATTTTGCATCCCGATGTTTCAGCTAACGGTCAAAGGGAGGGCGCAGCTTGTGAGTTCATAAGACTCCACGAAGCTTATGAAACTCTGTCTGATCCTGCAAAACGGGCAGATTACGATCGCTCCCTTTATAGACGAGGAAGACAAATGAGCTCTCCGTTTTCAATGTCTGCTGCTACTGCAACAACAATGGCAACAGGTTATGCTGCTGGTGGATTTTCTGGGTATACAAGGCGGAGATGGGAAACTGATCAGTGCTGGTAGCTAGGAAAACAGGCTGTACAATTATATATTCTAATCTATTTTTGTTCTTTAGATTGTTAGATGAAATAGAAAATTGCAGTATTGACCCCCCAAATCCTCACATATGGGGGATCAATTGCTGTTGTAAGTAGTTAAGATTGAACATCAATCTCTTGTATTGCGTCCCAAGGCGGTATTTTTTCAGCCTGAAATTATTAATTCTAAGTCGTGTTAATGTTATGATTTTGATAACTCAGGTCTTCTGTTTTTGGCATTATAATACTATTGATTTTCCATGGTAAGGGATATATATTTTGAGGAAACTGAATTTTATTTATGCAGAATGCTTCACTAATCTTGGATTCTTATTTTTGTTGGTTCCAAAAGGATTTCGAATGATAGATAAGTCTGAAATAGAGTTTTAAGTTTTAAACTTATTTATGGATAATTGATAGAGTGTCCAATATCTATAAGCCATATGCATAAACGTTGTCCAATAATTGGACGAGAGGCATAGAAAATTGAAATCTTCATGGAGTCCAAATGACAACTGGCTTCAATTTTCTAAATCTACGAACAGGATATGTCCTCTAGGATTTGTAAATAGTACACCCTCCAATCTCGGTTTGGATAGACACAGAGAGGTGGATAGGAAAAGTGGAGAAGTACGATGGAAAATCAAATTTAGATGTTTAATTGAATGGCACTGTCAGGCTCAAGAGATCAAAGGGGTAATTCAAAAAGATATAGCAGCTCCTAGGAAAAAAAGGGTAAAAGTTTGCCAAAAAAATAGTACCAAATGGACTGACATTAAAATACTACTCTGAAAATCTAAAACAGTGAAGAAATAACTAAAAATAATTATCTTATAATCAGTAAATAAAAAATTACATCTAATCATGAAAGCGATAAAAATATTTTCATTTAAATTATTTTCTTTTTATCTATATTTTTTATAAAATAAATCTTATTAATTACCTTAGAAATGAGATAAAATTTATAACCAGTTGATGATCGTGAGATTGAAACTTATCGGAAAAACAGAAAAATCCACTGATCCATGCATCGTATTAAAAAGCCCATTGCCACGAGCTTTGAATACGATCATTGTGAAAGTTATATGGGCCTTTTCTAATTGGCCTTACTTTCCTGGGGTATGCAAGAGCGTGCATTGGTCTCTCCTGACTTGCTTTTGATTATGGCCCAGAGCTGGACCCTAGTCCATGAGTCTCCACGGAGCATAGCGAGCAGCAGGGTAGGCAGTAGCGATGGCTCGAGGGACACAGCCTTTAAGTCAATGGCTAGGTTGTCGGTGTCTTGGGTTTGGTTATGGAGCTGAAATTGGATGGAAACCAAGCATCCTTGCCAGACGCGGAATCTCCGACATGGATGAGGTAGCATCCACAATCATACGGAGTTAAGCTCAGCTAGTGCATCGCGGTCTCAATCAAGTCCAACGCCGTTCAAGCTGGCAAATGCATCGATTTTTTTAAGCACCGCAAGTATGTCAGTATATGGACCCTTCTTGCCGACTTCTTTCTTCTTGATTTTTCTTTTTTCTTTTTCGTGTTTAAGGCAAGCCAAAGAAATAGCGATGGGACACTTGTATGAAAATTAAACATAGCAAAACACAATATTTTTTTTAATTGATTGAACAACTAGCATTAATAGTGTACACATTAAATTATTTAAAATCCATAAAACTAATTACTTGTGACTCCACAAACACACTGTATTAATGTTTTTTTTAAACCATTGGACACCTGAAACAAGACTAAACTCATAAAGTTATAAAAGCTTTAAACCAATCAATAATAAATCCATTGTTAATTAAGAAACTAATTTTAACAAGGACTAGTAACAAGTCCTGTGTTTAGGAAAAAGACCAATACCTACTAAGATATTAAAAGCTCGATGCATAAGGATTGAATATTAATATCTTTTTGGTTTATTTCCAATATATTTTATTAAACCACACCAAAAAATTACAAACAGCATAAACAAATTTCATCGGTCACAAATGTGTTCAATGTTCATAGTTGTAGTGACTGAATCGACTATGAAATTGGAAAACATTGTTTCATTTTTTTTTATATAATCAAACTAATTCTTCATCTTCACATATCGTCTAATCGAGTCAAATCTTCATCTTAACATCCTGTGATTGTGAAACGTTGTATTTGAAAAATTTTATTCACTTACTTTTGATAATTAAATAAATACTCAATTTTCATCATCCACTTGCTATCTATACCATTAATATCTTTTAACTTCAAGAATTCATTGATACACAAAAAATCAATCCTGTCTTCTGCCTTTTCAAATACAAAATTAAGTCTTCAATCTTGTCTTTTAATTTAAAATTTACCCTGGAATTTCCCTAATCAATTATAGGTTTTGTGAAATAATATAGACAGTTGGACTTTTGTAATTCAGATATTCTGAATTCTTTTTTCTAGTATCTGGTCATGTTTAAGCTTGAATTTAAAGTTCTGATCCAATAATTTCAAAATAAAAATAAATAATTAATGATTAAAAATAGTTAAAGGCCAACTGTTCATTATTTTTCTAATTCAATTTAAACATTAAATTCAGAACTAATTACGAGATGCCTACATACGTATATTTCCTTCCATAAAAGAGAATCACGAGGTGTCCCAAATCAAATAAATGACAGAAAATTAATTACTAATTTAATTAACTAAATTAGAAATTTTAATAGCTTTTTCTTATTAAAATTATAAAATTATTACCTTCTTAACTTTAGCAATTTGAATATCTCTTCCTTTATTAATCTTATGAAATTATAATTTTTCTGTATTTAATACCTTTTCGTTTAAACTTAATTATTACCAATTGCGAACCTAAGAAATTTAATGTTAAATTATTTCTTTCTTTTCTTGTTCGCATTCTATATATTTTCGAATTCCTTCATTAATTCATTCTTTTTAATCTTTTGCTCTTTCATAAATTATCTTTCATATTTTTGCATTTTGTTGTCTCACTGAATAATTTATCAAATCAATTTCTGACAATTTTAAGCCAATTATGATTTGACAATATTTATATTATTGATTGAAAAACCAAAACCAGCAGACCAAATTATTTAAAATCTATAAAACTAATTAATTACGATTCAGTTCACACTCATGACACTAGTGTTTTTTTAAACCACTAAACACTTAAAACAACACCAAACTTCTGTATTTATATAAATCTATATCAATCAATAACAAATCCAACACTAATTAAACAGCCAACTTTAACAATGAGTTATAACAAGAATTATATGCAACAGAAAACCAATACCTATTAAAAGATTAAATCCTCAAGACATAAAAATTAAAGATTTATATCCACTTGTTTATTTCCTACAACACTGCTACTCTTTCTGTCGGCAGTTCTTTCTTTCGTTTTGGGGACATTGTCATTCTTCCACCGGACCACCACACCTGTCTTCTTCATGGACCCACAGATGACAGTCACTGAATTTCTTGTTCTCGACAAAATTCTGGCTCCTAGCTCAAAGAGGCTCTTTGCAAGCTCAAAAATCAAAATTAATCCCATCTCAAAATGCAAGGAATCAATTTAATTTGTTTCTTTTATCTCGGAATTCGGAGTTGCAATGCATATGAAGAAGAAAAAATAATACCATATACAATCTCGAAAAATTTTAGAACATGTCAAAATTTTATTAGTTTCATACCCCGTTACGGTGCCTCTTACTTTTCTTACTGATATCCTCTCCCATCAACTTCTACTAAATGAATAATTTAATTTGTTTCTTTTATCCAACGCTGTCTCGTATCACATCTGGATGGTAATAAGTGCGTAAGTACTTTTAACTTTGCTGTTGCTATGATAATGATAGTACAAAATTAATATACTTTTGCGGTCATTTCTGAGTCGGCTTTACAGTTTTATTGGGATGATCCAAAAGATCCAATTCATGGTGCCTAACGCTGCTAAATTAGAGTGACAATTTTGTTGGAGGCAAGGTAACAAATCAGAGAACGAGGTTTCTACTTTCTAAAGACGAGTTAGCAAATCAGAAGCATCCAAAAGATACCCAGCACTGCTAAATTAGAGTGAAAATTTTTGCAAACCTGGATAACGTATAAGATTCCTGCATGCCCAGCGTTTCTCCAAGTTAGCATTTGTCGGAACCCAAACATCCAAATAGACAAGCCCATGTAACTCATTGAGCCAACCAAACTAACCATGGTTAATCAATTTCCCACCTCCCTATAAATAACAATTGGTCCTTTCCTCAAGTCCTCCACATCCTAAAACCACGCAGCACACAAAGCAAGTATTTTCAATCATGACCTCCGTATCTTCTCTAGCATCTTTCAGCTACTCCTCTTCTCCTTTTGTTGGCCCAAAATTTTCCAACAACGAGCCTCAATCGCCGCCATTTCGTGTCAGCTTTCGACCCTTCAGTGTTTCCGCCTCCTGCGCTTCCACCGCCGAGAGACCAACCTCCCATAATGTAACACCGACATCTCTCTACGAAGTTCTCGGGATTCAAATGGGTGCGACGTGTCAGGAAATCAAGGCTGCTTACCGAAAGCTAGCAAGAACATTGCATCCAGATGTTGCAGCAAACGGTCAGAAGGAAGACACAGCTTATGAGTTCATAAAAGTACACGAAGCTTATGAAACCCTGTCGGATCCTGAAAAACGCGCAGATTATGATCGTTCGCTTTTCAGACCGGGAAGGTAAATGAGCTCTCAATTTGTAATGTCTGCAGCAACAATGGAGACAAATTCTGTAGCTGCTGGATTTCCTGCCTACACTAGGGGCAGATGGGAAACTGATCAGTGCTGGTAACTGCAAAATCATTTACTTGATTGGCTGGATTTAACCCTAAATTATTGACATCCTAATCAATTTTAGCTTTTTTGGCATGCTATTACTTGGATACAGTATCAATAGCTAGGATTGGACCTCAATCTTTGCATTATGTAAATAGCATTTTTTAGTCTGGAATTATAAGGTCTTTTTTGTTCTGTGCCTCTGGTTTTGATATTGATGTGTTCAAATGGTTCACACGCGCACTCTCTTTCTGATATGCTACAATCAGTTTTCTATGGTTCAGGAATTAGTATTTGATATAGCCAATTATAAGGGGTTAGGTTCCTTACATCCAAAACCCTAAAAAGCTATAAAAATGAGGGAAAAAAAAAAACCCCAAAATCTCAATTTTCATTAAACAGAAAATTAATTGAAATGGAAAGTAAATATACTAAAATAACATCCTAAAATTACCTCTGATCTCCTTTTTTTTTTTAAAAAAAAAAAAAAAAAAAAACTCTTGCCTGATTAAAATAAATTTGACGATAATAAAAGAAAATCTAGATATTACAATAGCAAAAATCAAACCTTTGTGTCCATATCCCTTGTCAATATCATACGGATAGCGGATACTTTGTTTATAATTTATAAGTGGAAGTAAAAACTTCTTTTTCATTTGGAATTGGGATATAAATCCTTTTGATACTTATCTAATTGCGGGATGGGATCTATGCTGATGGCTAAAGCTGAAATTGAATTTCAATTTATCTTGTTTAAAATTGATAGCATGTCCAGTTGAATAAGCCACATACAAATTCTGGTCAAAATGCGATGATAGGAATTTAGATATTTTCATGGACTTAGAGATAACTTAGTTCAATTATCAAAATATATCAACAACTTGAAAAATGGTTAATACTTTCACAAATCCTCTATTATTTCTTTTGTATTCAGAAGAATTATTCACTATTTTATTTATTTATTTTTTAATATCAACCATGCACATGGTATCATCACGTTCGTCTACCAGTTGGTGTTAATAAGGCCATTAAAAATTCTCTAGTACCACACTACTACAACAACAAATTTTAATTGGTGTATATTTTGATTCTTGATGTTTTTCAAAATTTTATTTGATATTTTATTTTTCTCAGAAATAAGTTCTTAAAGAAAATGTTTTTGATCATCCTATTTTTACAGTAATTTTTTTTTCCGATGAAGCCCCCGTATATGAAATTGTAAACTTGGTCAAAATAGTTAACAATATATATATATATATATATATATATATTTTGAGAAATAATCGTAAACTTAGCCAAAGTAGTTAAAAATATTTTTTTGAGAAATCATCGCAAACTCAGACAAAATAGTTTGAGACAGGTTGATTTAAATAGACATATCCGGTTTTTTTAATTTTTTTTTTTGTTTTATACAATATGTCTATTTTGGGAATTTTTATTTTATTTTATTTTTAAATTAATTTCTTAATTTCAACCTAAAAAAGATGAGAAAATAGATATATGATATTATAGAACATAAAAATAATATATCAATAAATACAAAAATATTGAAGAAGCTTTTTAAACACACAAGAAAGAATAGACGCATCAAGTGTGTGGTAAAGCATTATCTCACTTGAACAATGGATAACCAAAGAACATGTTAATTGGACACGGATGGGCACTATCAACCTAAGGTGTTTGCGTTTTGTTTTATCCATTCTCTCCTAAAATAAAATACTGGAGGAATCGGTAGATAGGGAAAAGGGTAGGGCTAAGGCAGAAAACCAAAGAACATGGTAATTGGATATGGATGGGCACTATCTGCCAGACTCATCAAGTGACAACATCAAAAGGCCAGGGTTTCCTTTTGTTTTTTCCTTTTTTGTCAAACAGAAAACGAATAAAATTTCCAGGAAAGCATTCATACAGTCAATTCCTATGACACGACTCAACCTTTGCTTCGTTTTTTTTATTTATTTCCATGAACTATGGATAGGAAGAACAGCTCAAGATTCATTGAAATGCACTTATCCTTACAATTTATTAAAGCAGACAGCAAATATAGGGAAAGGTACGTCAAACATCAAGTATTAAAAAATTATTTTGGCAGACAAGCATGACAAGGCATTCGACTAACAAAATTCTGCAAAATTTCTTGTTCAAACATTAGTTTTAATAGCGACACACTAACCGCACAATGATCCCGCACGCATACCTTCTTACTTAAAAAGAAGACGCAAAAACAAACTCTATTTGAATCTCAAGCCTCCTTATAAAAAACGAAGAAGTATCTCAAGAGTCGAGCCTTGTCAAATTGATTCTTTGACTGAGGCTGAGGCCTTTTCTAGGCCTATGCAGTAAGGCTCAATTAGCCCATCAAAATGACCTTCAATTACATCAATATAAGAGCTGCAAAATGGGCCAATCCAGTGTATGTCCTCTCGACCCACTTGAAAAACTCGATTTTTACCCGAGGAGCCGGAGGACGAGGAAGGGTCCCGGCCATGACCCGTACCCATTTCGCTCATTTACAACCTCGTGACTTGACTGGTTAGATAATATTTTTTTTCGTCTTAATAATATATTTCTACGTTACATTTTCATTATTACTATACCGTTTCGTTACCTTTCGTCAGCTAGTTTTGTTAATGTTGGTAGCATTCTAGTGCGTATATATTTTGATCTCTAAATTTTTTTGAAAAATTTAATTAATCCTTTTGTTTTCTTTTTATTACAAAAAAGTCCTCAATCGATTTTTTTAATCAACTTATTTAACAGTAAAAACAATGCAGTTTTTATTTATTTTTTCAATTAAATTCTTATATATGATATTGTATACACATACTGATAATTTAGAAAACTGTTAAAAATACAATAATTTTTATCAAACATAAATATACTATAAATGTTATAAAGAATTAAAATTTGGCTCAATACATAGCTTTTTCATCATAAATTCAATCGATCTTCAGAAGAATTAGACTGAAAATCAGGATAAATTTCATATAAATAAAACTTTAGTCTCAAATTCAATATATACCCAAGCCCATTCAAACTGTACAACACCTGACTGACTGCTCAACCCGACAAAAATACATGAGCGACGGAAGCAAAAAATCGAACCAAACCTTACCGGACCGGATCCATTGCATTTATTTAAATTTTAAATCATCTCGAAACACATCCTGGGAAATATTTTATGGGCTTTTTATCTTTATAGATCCATTTACCACGGGCCAGCGCTAAAAGCTCACATGGAATGGGTTGTTGAAATTAGTGGGCCAGGCTCGAACTCTTCTTTCAAAAATGACTTGCCATTGCAGCATTGCTGCAGCGCATCAAAGAAGCAGAAGTAGCAATGGCTCGTCTGATCCGGCGATGGCCGCTGTTGCATAACCATTGTTTCTCTAACGCTGCACTCATTTACGTACTCTCTGAATCCTTAACTGTATCCACCAAAGCCAACTCTCCTCGCCTTTCTCTAACTAAAGTTACAGCTTCTAATCGTAGCTTGCATTTTCGACCACGCGGTCCCAAGTTACCTAATTCTCCAACACGTTCTGATTTCGGACAGGGAGGAAATGTAAGCGATTCGGATTCTGAAGCAAACAAAAGCCGCAACCAAAAAAAGCGCGAGGCTCGACGCGCTGTTCAATGGGGCATGGAGTTGGCTTCCTTCTCTCCACCTCAAATCAAACGCATTATCAAGTGATAAACACAAACTTTCTTTCTTAATTTTCCCAAAATTACCAACAACGTTGAAACTTTTCTTTATAGTTCACTAATGTTTTAACTTGTGTTTTGCTGGGGATTTTTTAGAGTCGCTTCACTTGAAAAAGGTGTGTTCGATGCGTTAATGCTAGTTAAGGTACTTTTTTTTGTAATATAATATCTCTTACTCTTTCGGAGTGCGATGATTTTTCAATTATTTAGTGTTTCAGAACGAAAGAAAAAAATGAAGCTAAGCTGTTTGTGTTTTGGTCGCAGAGACTAGGACCGGATGTTCGAGAAGGAAAGCGGAGGCAATATAATTATATTGGTATTGGGCGAACTCTGTATCTTTTAAACATTAGTGTTTAGTAACTTGTTTCTTAAACATTATGATTTGCTAGCTACATTTTTTGATTTCCTCCCTGGGAAATATTGATATCAACTAGAAGCAAATGCGTGCAAGTAATCTTAGTTTTGGACTTTTGGTGCATGCTAATGCATTTAATGTTACTAATCAGGGAGCAGGGCTTGTTGCTTATTTTAATGGGAAAGATTTTCGTTTCATGACCTAGCTTTTATTTCTCTTAATCCAGTAAACTGTGCGCCATTCAGAAACATACTAGGCGTATATTTTATCATGTAGAGAACCTTTGAGATAAGGTTTTAGGCATTATAAATGTGCTCTTGAATCTTGATTGTTATGTGAAATGTGTTGGTAGGAAAATTGTTGCGGGATGTAGAACCTGAATTGATGGATGCTTTGATTTATTCTACAAAAGATGGTGATTGGAGTAGACTGCAGGGCTTTTCTGGTTTGGAGGAAAAGATTGTTGGGGACAAAAATGAAGGATCGGAAGAAAGTGAATACGAAGTGGAAGAGGAGGTATAGTAAATAACCTTTAATTTGGTTAATGCCAAATTCCAATCTTCTTGCGGTCTAACTCCTACTATAAAATCTGTTAATTGAAGATCTGACCTTAGTTAGAGTTTCTGCATTATCAATTTGGTTTTGAACGCAAACATATTACTACAGTTCTTTTTCACCCTCCCTCAGTTCTGATATGTCTTAAGGCATTTAGCTGCCATAACCAGAAGCTTGCAGAGGTGTAGTAAGTGGAAAGTACTATATTTGACTTTTAATGTTGTATTTGAAACGTAAGTGAAGTTTTGTGATAATTACACTTACAAAAATGGAAAAGGTAAAACCTATCTAGAAAAAAACAAAATTCCTCTCTATTTACTGAAGGGCAAGCTGAATTAAAAAACAATGCCTGTGTTGACATACTACATGTTAGTTACTTGTACAATTTTCAGGTTTCGCATGAGTACATCGATGTAGCAACCAGATGGTTTGATGGCCTGATTAATAGGGACGTAAAGGTTACCAACGAGGTTTATGCACTTAGCAGCGTTGATTTGGACCGTCAGGTTAGTGAAATGTCATCTTAAGTTTATGAAGTATTGCATTTCCGATTTGTTTGTGAGACCTCACAAATTATAGGTTATGATTTCTACTGTGAGTTAGACGATGAAAACATATTGTTTGGAAGGAAAGAAGAGGGGGCAAGTATCCTTATGAAGTCACCAAATGAACAGAAACCTACCATTTGTTTCCAATTAAAATAATAATGATAATCAATAGGAGACTTATTGCTTCCCGGACGATTACTTAGATCTTGTGAATCCAGCATACTTAACCCATACTCATTCTATGCACGTTTATCTAGTCAAAGCATCAGAAACTATGGTTGGCTTGTATAATTAGTTGCATGAATGAATGCCTTCACTGGTAAAGTTTAATTGCTTATCATCTATTGTTTCTATGATGGCTTGACATCTATTGAACAGGAATTACGTAAACTTGTACGGAGAGTGCATGCAGTTCAAGAACGCAAGGGTGTTACCGAAGAAAATGAGCAAGAAGTGGACACTGCAATCACAGGTGCCAAAAAGTCCCTCACTCGTTTCCTCCGTGGCCTTGCTAAGCAGATGGCAAGTGAAGCTAGTCATATTGATTTGTAAGATATGTGTTTTCGTCATTGCATGTTTCCTTCACAAAGCAGCTAATATGGGTTATATTCATGACGCGTCACGTCATAGAGTTACAGAATTTATAGCCTGGGCTAGGCTTATGGTGTAACCAGGGCTAGCAGCCTAGAACATTCTTTTCTTTTCTAGGCCAGGCCCATTACCTTTCTCCTTCTTCATTTTTCCCCCTCCTTTCGTTTTAAATTAAATTATCAGTTAAATTTTTTTAAAAAAAATTCTTAATTAAGTTATCAAAATAACAATACTATAATTACTTAGATTTTTTTAATAATTATGAATATTGACTTGATTTTTTTTCAAGTAGTTTTGATGAATTAGTTTAATAGCTAAAAATATACATTTGATTTTTTAAATTTAAATCTTAGAATCAGTATTTATAAAAAATTATTAAATTTTTCTAATTACATCTTGAAATTGTGAATATGCCTTATTTAAATTTTCTTAGAACTTATTGATATAACAATTACAGTTTGTTTTTGTATTTTAATTTTCTATATCAAACAAATATTGAAATATATTTTTTAATAACTTTTTCATATAATTATTAAACATAAAAAAATAATTTTTTTATTGAAAGTTTTTTTCCATCAAATAAACGGAGTCTGGAGCTCCGTTTTTTTTCATGATAAGAACCATTGGAACTAATAAAACGGTGGACACTGGAGCTGATTTAGACACAAGAAAAGAGCCCTAGGTGGTCTAATAAGCATTTACTCGATAAACTTGCACGACTATCTTCTCTAAAGGCTATACCGCCACTTAATGATGGTACCAGACCTGGGAAGGATAGTTGTTTCAAGTACAGAATCATCTTAAAAGCGTCATCATTGTTCTCTATATGACTGTCCAGTGCCATTAATAAATTTTTAGAAAGGTAGATAGCAATAATAATCCACAGTCCACTTGTGTTTACTATGTCCCGATCTATAGGTAAGCGTGGGCTCTTTGCTTTATCCCGTAGGACTGGCTTCATGGGCCTTGAAGCCAAGTTGACATGCACCTTTTAAAACTTTTTTTCCTCTTTACTTGCCAACTTGGGACACAAGTAGGGATATTGCCATATTGGGCCCCTTAGTCTTGTGAGACATGACTAGTGAGCCAATACATAGTACAAGATTAATGCATTTGTCATGATAAATAGCTACAGAGTGATTTGCTCAATTAAGCAATCTTGTTTGTCAATAATGGAGTCTAAGCTTTCTAATCCGATTTTCCTTTTTGCCTCGGCTAATGGGATACTATCAGGTTGCTTAAATGTTGTTATCACTTCTCTCTATGGAAAGTTACAAAGCGCATGATTCCTTATATTTTTCGAGTGCTGTTAGTCAGCTAGTGATAATGTCATGTTTTTTGGAACTGATGGATGTTCCCAGACATTTAGTTTTCAAATGAGGTGAACCAGATCTTTATAATTGTTGATGATAATTGTTTCGACAATAATTATCTAGACGGCATCGATTCTTTGTTTCTATATTCATGCGTCATCTTCATACATATTAGTCCGAGTCTGTAGTTGCCTCTATCATAATCCAGCTATATATCACAACGATGCTATTGCTTCTACCCTTAAAATTGTTTTCCTGGATTTTTTTATTGCCTAAATTTCAACATTTTCGGCAACCAATAGGTTCCCGAGATTCCCAGAAAAATGTCATCGTCTCTCAAGTGAAAAGACCCATTTAGTGCCTAAATTTCAACATTTTGAGCTCTAATCCTTCAGCTCGAAATGTTAATAATACCAATTATTATTTACTGATCATACTTAGGCTCTAGGACCACATCCTTGTAGTAGTTTTACTGAGTTATCTAGTCTTCTAATGAAAATATGAAATTGATAGGTGGAAGTTGGAACTTGCTTTTTTATAGGATAATTCTTGTCATTTAGGTGTTGTTTGGTAATTAAGAATAAAATAATGAGAATGAAAATGCGGGAATCGAATGAAAATTAAGGAATCGGAATGACATTTGTATTTTCATAAGGAATCGGAATGACATTTGTATTTTCATAATGTGTTTGTAATACTAATAAGGAATCGAAATGAAATTTAAATTTTTTAATATTTAATTTTTTATACAAATAAAAATATCAAATTATAATGGTTGTAAAAATAATAAAAGTGATGATGGTAGTGGTTATGAAAGTGATGGTTCTAGTGGTGGTGATGGCGACGACGACAGTAGCAACGGCGGCGATAGTGGTGGTGGTGACGACGATGATGGTAGTGGTTGCGGTAGTGATGGTAATGGTGATGGTGGTGGTGGTGACGATTGTAGTGGTTACGGTGGTGGCGGCGGTAATTGTGATGGTGGTGGTGATGATGTCGGTGGTGGTGGTTGTGGTGACAGTGATAAAAGTAGTTAATAGATAATAAATTAATAAAATATATTAGTATTTTGAAAAAAAAATCATTTTTATTTTTTATTTTTATTTTCACATTTTATATGAGAATGAAGTTATATATAAATTTTTATTTTTATTTTTTATTTTTATTCTCGTTTTATTTCTTTTAATCAAATAGACATAACGTGAGAATAAAACTTTTATTTTTATTTTTATTATTTTATTTCTGATTATCAAATATCCACTCAGTACACTTCAGAAGTCATTTTCTAGTTAATTAGGGTGCCAGCTGTTGATGCTTTTTTTATTATGATAAAAGCGCGAGAATGTCAGAAGTTATACCAATAGCATTCTAGTGGTCCCAAAACTTATACGATAACATTCACTGTTAAAAAAAAAAAAAAAAACTTAAATCATAGGAAATTTTCCTCCTGGCAAATAACAGCTAGGTTTGGCAGTGAAGATAATGGCACTTCACTCTGAAGACCTAACGTTTTCAGGTCCATTGCAGTTCACTAACAACCATGAATCTGATTTTGTAACAAGAAGAAGAACTAGAAAAGCATTTGAACACTAAAATTAATGCACATTTAATTGATGCTGCATGCGGTTCTATTGCACAACCAAACACCAGAGCAACTTGACCCTACGAGAGATAGAGCTTCTCTGGTGGGGGACAAAAGATGACAGGATAGGCAAAGAGACTAATTAAATCAGTTATGCTGCCGACTGCTTCTTGAATTAATTAACTAGGGCGAGTAGAAGTTGCTCTTTGGGATGCCCTGAGAGTTGAAGTTTTGATCATTGAGTTTATGCAGGAAATGTGTACTTGTTTTGCCAATTTGGAGACTCGGGTCTCAGGCCGGCAGTAGCCAGTGGCAAAGGTAAAAATAAACAACTAGAAGAAATCTATATGTTTTTGAGTTAGGTGGTATGAAACAACCAGCAAGTGGGAATTTAGACAAGGGAATTATTTCCATCAGTTTGGCTTTTTGTGCGTCAGATACCAAAATAAATTTGGAGTTTGTGTCACGCAGGATGTCACAGATTGTGACTTCTATCCACGGACTAGTTGCAGCAACAGTACAACTATGATGTAATGGGCATGAGTAGTGCTATTTCTTGTGAAAATTTTACGCAACAGTTAATGGCTCCGTATCTCTTTATATAATATGTTAATTTATCAATATGTCATTTTACAACTATGAAGTATATATAGTTTATCTTTCTAATAAGATTTTTAAACTAAATTATCATAATTAATCATATGATTTTCACGTAAAAGTTTTTATTTGATTGGATTGCAAGAGCTTTTTGAAAATAAAAATAGATATATGTAAATTATGTGAATAATTTTGGTAATTTAGTCAGAAAATCTTTAAAAAAATGGATTAAAAAACTAAACTTATATTCGATGATAAAATTGACTTAATTAGAGATATATAAAAAAAAATTAAAAATTATATTATTATATAAAAATAGGTTTAACCACTAATCCAAATAAGTTTTAAGAATACACATGAGAAATTAGATCAGTGAAACTTGCTGTTGCATCTCATGTTAAAATCACGATTCAATGCTTCACAATCAATCCTTTTGAAACTTATCCTTATTGGTAAAATTGTTTGTCATTTGGTATTCGTCCATCTTAAAAAATCGAAGGAATCGAAGGCAACCCATCAGGGGAAGCAATGCACTGGAGTTAAAGTCAAAGAGTGAGTCCAACACCCTCAATTAAGTTATTTCAGATTCTCTAAATATGAAGCGAAAGCGATTGAAGAGCAGCCTTCTTCTTGATTTTTTTTTAACGATTAGATAACCTCAGCCAGCTTCTTGTGAAAGTAATTGCAGAGCAGCCTTTGTTTAGGCACCAGTAACACTCAGAGATTCAAGTGTGCTTTTCTATGTTGCACATGAGAAATCATTGCTGGAAGAATATATTTCTCTTGCCAATGTGGAATCCTTAAACAGCTATCCCTTTCAACCCTCCAAGAGGCCGAAGGAGTGGATCGAAGACACTGTCCTAGTTCAGTATCTAAGACTTCCCAAAAACTTTTTTTAAGAAAATTTGTTTGGGAGGGGACTGTCCAAAACAAAAACAAAAAAATTTGACACGACATATAACCTAATCAAGGGAACCTTATTAGACTGAAGGTTCATCAGCCCTTATATATATTATTTTAATAAATTCGATTGTATGCTTGCACTCTTGGGTTTGAAGGGTCTTAGGGCTGCCATTTAGGTTTAGTCCAAGTGAAGGTGACCCCATGGCCAGTAAGAAACAATCTACCACTCAGCCCAACTTGGTCTTAACCTGCAGGCTGACCATCACTCTATGTGTGTATGGGGTTAGCGTGCCAAGCTATCTAACTTCAGAGAATAAACACAACCAGTCTAGTCTAAGGTGGTGGCTTTGTCTGAAAATTTCAAAACTACTGCTATTTTTTTAAGTCTGTATTGGATGGACCTCGTTAGATATTTGCAATTAACGATGCAGGTGTTTCTTGATGCCAAAGATCTCCGTGAGTAGTTGCTTTCTGGTGAGTCTAATTATTGGGCACCACCTAATTCCTTGAAAAACACTGATTGATACAGGACCTAAAAATATTGAAGATATGTAATTTGGGATTTTTTATGCTGTTGGAAGTTGAACCCAACTTTAACTGTCCCTCTTGCAATTCAGAAGGATATGGGGCATTGTGGGGCCAATCACTAGGTTTAGGTTAGTGATTAGTGGCACAGACTGGTCAACAGACCTGGAGAATTTGGATTCAAGGTTTGACCTTGTGCTATTTATTTTAGAAGAAAAACGTGATCATTGTTGAAAAGCTAACCAAAGATGACCTTCCATTATCCATAATGCTAGGTGATTATATAAAACTAAAAAATGCTGCAAGCCGCATTTGACTTGGTTCATTCCCATTTGCCCTTTCCTGAGGGTCCAAACCTCAAACATTAAGTTAAAAGATTAAGTTTTTCGGTTAATCTCAGTGGAGAATCAACAAATTTATACTAAAGTTCTTGAAATTGTCTGTCGATTAGTATATAAATTCAGAAACCATTTGAGCACTTCAAACAATCGAAACTTTCTCACTCCATTTACCGTTCGAGAAGATATTGGTCAATTGGAAAGGGATTTCTTGTTTACTTTTCTTTTTCTTTAATTAAAATTTATTTCAATTGGAGATTAGAGAAATGCAAAATCTTGACCATTAGAATGCATATTTAGTCAGTTTTGGACCATCAGTATAACGTGGAAATACCAAATCTAAACATTTGTATGGCACAAAAACCAGGAGAAAAAAACACAACACACATGAAGAACTCGTATAGGTTAGAAACACTGCTAGAACTAATGGCCATATATTCATAGCTTGTTAGGTAGTCGACTAATGAAGAATCCTTTTCTTTGTTTATAATTTGACACGAATCCACCGTATCATAAATAGATTTTTTCTTCTAATTCTTTTTAATGCTTTTGTTTATTTTCTATGAATCCAAGTTACCCAACTGTTCGAATCCAATGTTTTTGCTTGATTTCTGTTTCGCGTCTCACGCTTCTACTGCTAGCGATTGATTGTGATTGTTATCATAGGCAAGAAACTCTCAAAACAGCAAAAAACGGTCGATCAACTGTTCTACCATCTCGCAGTTATGACTTGCGGGAAAAGAAAAGCTTTTGACGAAAAGAAATTTTTAAAAAAGAAAAGTTGGTAGGATAGATTTCGTACATGTCACAGACAAACTTCTCCCTAATTAGTACAATAGTACATCTCTTGTATCCAGAAGAAAAGGACTAGGAAATAGTTCTTTTCTCGGAAGAAAAAAGAAAGAAAGGAAGAAAGAAAAGATTAGCATGTATTTTCTCTTTTTAAATAATCCTAATATGATGTATCTTACTGAAATCAATACAATTTCAAGAAATTAACAAGGTCATAAGAAAGTTTGTGTTATTCTTTAGATTTAATGGATTCAAAATTTAGGATTAGTATTCAAAAGAATTCATCATTTTTTTTTCTGAATTTATCAGACTAATGTGGATGGTGCAATTTTAAAATTGTTTAAATAGACTTTAATATCAATTGACATTCAAATCAGTTAGAATAAACTCTTATTGTCAAATAAAAAAAATCAACACAATAATCATAAAAAAAATTATAATAAATAAAATAAAATTCATTTTCTTCATAACCAGATCATCTCCTATTCCAGTAACATGAAAACGGAAATTGTCATATTATTTTAGAAGTAATTAAATTTAATTTAATCATATTAAAACTTATATATCTAATAATGGCTAGAAGATAGTTAAATTGGTGATTAAAGATGTCTTTGATGAAGATATTAAGTACTCGTTTCCCGTCCATAAGGTGTACCGGGGGTTATTTTCTTAATTATTTGTGCCTAAACAGGCGGGTGCTCCGTGTTTGCCGGCAAATTGTGGTTCATCCAGTTGCCTTATCACATCCATCTATTGCAGTGTCGAATATCTTCACAAGTTTCATTCACCTAATTGTTTGGTCAAACTATCAAAATATTTATAATATGCACTTCCTTCCCCATTATTCCACTTCTTAAATCATTTTTATTATGCTTTTTAATCAATTTTTACTTCTAAAATAAAAAGTAGAACCAAAGTTTAATCAGTTTTTTCATGACCGCACATATAAAATAAACAAAGGCCATTTTTTAATTAATTAACCAAGCGATACAAAGCACTAATTCTAAAAAGATGTGGCTCCTTTTCAGCTCAATTTCGTAGGCCCATCTTTCCTCCTTGGCCCTTCTGGCCCCATCAAATGCCAAAACAAAAAAACTGACGCCAGCAGAAGTCTCGTAGAATCCAAATGTACACCGGCTTCTCTTCTATAAATACCGATCTGTCAGAACAAATTTGGAATCTCATATTGCCTCTTTTCAAGACTCAACAGCAACAAGAAGAAGTGTTTGGTGTCGTTGCCAATTAGATTCCAAAACACTTCTCTTCTTCTTGTCGTTTCTCAACATTTCTCTAATTAACCAATTCTTCTTCAATGTCTCAACTAACATTGCTTATCTCTCTGTCATCCTTCTTCATTGCCCACCTATTCGTTTCAGGTAACTGAATATTTTCAAGGAATCCATTAATGGCACAATTGGTTTCTTTTTTCCTAATTCTTGAACTTAATGGTTCCTTGTTTGATTTGTTTGTTTTATTTCTTTTTTAGGTGTTGTTTCAACAACTTTTAAAATAGAAAACAAGTGTGACTACACAGTATGGCCAGGCATTCTCTCAAGCGCAGACGCACCAGCTCTCTCCACAACTGGCTTTTCCCTTCAAAAGGGGGAGTCAAAAACCATAACAGCACCAGCTTCTTGGGGTGGACGTTTATGGGGTCGGACATATTGCTCTGAAGACTCCGCAGGAAAATTCTCCTGCGTTACAGGTGATTGTGGCTCTGGAAAACTAGAATGTTCAGGCAGTGGTGCAGCTCCTCCTGCTACGTTAGCAGAGTTCAAGCTCGACGGCTATGGTGGGATGGATTATTTTGACGTTAGTCTTGTTGATGGGTACAACTTGCCATTGCTTGTTGTCCCTCAAGGTGGTTCTGGTCAGAATTGTACAAGCACAGGATGCGTGGTGGATTTGAACGGCGCGTGCCCTTCAGAACTTAAGGTTACTAGTACGGACGGCAATAGCGTGGCCTGTAAAAGCGCGTGTGAAGCTTTTGGGTCTCCGCAGTATTGTTGCAATGGCGCGTATGGTACACCTGATACTTGCAAGCCTTCTTCTTATTCTGAGATTTTTAAGAACGCTTGTCCGCATGCTTACAGCTATGCTTACGATGATAAGACTAGCACCTTCACTTGTGCCTCCGCTGATTACCAAATTACCTTCTGCCCCTCGCCTACCACCAGGTAAACTTTATTTTTCACTTTTGTCACTTTTTACAACGTTAGGGGGGCAGGCGGTTTTGTCCGTCGAAAAAGTTAAAAAAAGCCTGACAAATAAGAACGTTAGGTGACCGTTTTGTCCTCAATTACTACCTGATTTTAACGTTGCTGCTAGACAAAGGAATATTTGAGAAACGTTCTGTCAGTTTTTGACGTTTACGAGGGGAGCCGTTGATAAATCTTGGGCATCATGACCCTTTAGCTCTACGTTAACATGGATTGGGGTAAATCCCACGATGCCTCAGTCTTGAAGGACCTATCACGTGGGATCTAGAGCTAAAAGAGTCAATTGTTCGGGATTTCTATGCCGCTGTTTTAAGACAGCTTGGCGAGGTTTCTTGCAAAATATTTTACAATGTTTTGGTCAATCCAGAAAATTCCTAAAAATCTTAAAATTTACATACAAGAATCTTAGTTATATTATGCATTAAAAAATCAGTAGTATTTCAGGAGAAAGTTTAAAATAATTAAAAAAATTATTAATAATACTTAGGCAATCATTTTCTGTTCCCCTTCTCATTAAAAAGAAATATTCATTGGGTAAATTAATGCACGTCTTTTGCGATATGCAATAAGTGGTCTCTAGAGCAGGTGGCTGTTTCTGAAACGTAGACACAGAAAACAATACATCCTTCCAAATCCCAAAAACAATTTCAATTTTTTACTAATATTTGTACAGAAATAGCACAAGTGTCTAACGGTTATGTTTTTGGTAAATTGTGCAGCCAAAAAGCATCACAAGGGCAGAACACCGAAAATACAAACACAAGCAGCAATACACCACTCATCAACAGCACAATGGTGTATGAAGGTGCGTTGAACCAAAATGGAGCATCACCATCCATGAAGGGCAATGTGTTAGGATCACATGTTATTGCCGGCATTGTCAGCTTCACAGTCGCAATTTGGCAGTTGGGCCAGCTCTTCTAACTGCTTTTCACTAATCTATTGTAGGCCCATTAAAAAATCGTCTAGTCTAGTTTAGGCTCTTTGTTGTGCATGAATCTACAAAAATCGGCTATCTAAATTTTGATCCAAATGAGTTGTCGGTTCTCATGGGGGTGGACCCTATAAGCTTTTTAGAGCATGGGCCATGGGACCCCTAAGATTGGCCGAGGTGACAAGGAATTGAGTCATGATGGAAAAGCTCACCAGTCCATTGAAGGCCACTCCATAAAAAAAAAAGAAAAAAAAAGCGTAGTTCAATGTGTTGTCCGGGGACCAATCTAAACGCTACGCAAGAGGCTGAAGGGATGGTGGTGGTGACTGAGCTGTTAAGTAGAAATAGGAAATTTCTTTTTCTGTTATAGGTTAGGAAATTATTATTATTTCTTTTTATTAAAGGAGGGGATGGGATTCATTTGTTGGTTTCGATAGAGTATCGATTATATTATGTAACCACCGCATTTGGTGCCAAGAAAATGAAAGTCTCATCTAATTTGATGCTTGTCTTCATGTTTGATGTCATCTTGCCACTTGAATTCTTTAAGCATTCATGGACTTTAAATACTCATGCATTCGTAGATTGGATAACATAAAGAAAGCAGTAGTGTTTTATGCGTGGAAGGTGATGCTTGAAATTGCCAGCAATAGATAGATAGCCATTGAGGGATGCGACCCACCAGACTACAACTGGCATATTCGGGTACCCCAAAAAAATTGATTCTTTAGCTGTAGTAGTATTGACTTCGTTTATATTGCAAAAAGCAATTAATTTCAGGCCTTAATTTATCCAGCACAATTTCAACGCGTATATCACTGTTAGCACGAGGGTATTTGATTGTGCTAATATTGCCGAAAGAATCACGTACGTTTACCTTCCCAAAAGAGAGATTTTTTTATCCAACCAGTGGCAGATCAGGCCTTCCTCTTGCCCAACAAAGGAGCTAGCTAGGTTGCAAAAATTAAGAACCTAGCTAAAGAGGGATCGAAAATTCAGTCCAGTTTGGTATCGATTGAAATGTTTGGAGTTGACTAACTCAATCGAGTGTGTTTCACATCTCATGGTTGCAAGTTTGTTGAATATTGAAGGCCCAAGCATCACGGCCGGCCATGTTTTGTCCTTTTAAATTGTTTTTTCTAGGCCGAGACATCACATGCTAGCTTAGCAGCCACCAGCCATGCATATTAGAGAATTCAATGAGATAAGGGCCTGACATCGGCGTACGCAAAGTTCACGCCGGGTGTCCTCCATTTATCGATTACATGCATAATCACAAGTCACGGCCTGATATTCATATTTTTTTAATACATTTTCTACCTTTAGGAAACACTGCTATGCGGAAGGCATACCTGATCTGTCTTCTTCTTCTTCTTTTTTTCTTTTTTAAGGTTTTCACTCTTCGTAATCGATTATTGAGCTTGAATCACTGACATTGGTAGGCAGGACATCGACTATTGCATTGAATCATTATACTAATTTCCAATTTCACTGGATTACCACGTATGTGCGCCAATTGTAATTAAGAGACAAGGTGGGTCATTGTTGAGTCAAGGCATGTATGATCTGACAGAGCCAGTGATGGGGCTAGAGCAAAATGATTGGGGGATAATCTGAGGAACATGAAGGGTAAAATTAAAATAACGTAAAAAGTATAGGATCGAAAGTGTACTGAGTTATAGCGAGTTAATTATAAAAAAGTTAAATTGTTCAATTTTTTCTTGAACTTTAACAATTTGAAAATCAGTTCTTTAACTTGAATTTGAATTCTCTTAAACTATTTTTTATTTAATATTGAATTATTTTATTATATTTTTATTAATTATAACGATGTAATTACGAATAACTTATATGTAGTTGACTTTTTGATTTCTTAATAGTTAAAAAAGTATCAAAAGTTATAGATGTTTTGTTTTTGCTTCAAAAGTTGTTTATATGTATATATATATATCTTCTAAGTTCTAAGAAGTAAACAATTAAAGAACATTTCAGCATATAGGATTGAAGAAATAAGCTTTGAAACAAAAAATAAAATATCTATAAATTTTGACATGTTTGTAGTCATCCAAAAAATTTTAGTTATATGTTAGAATTGATAAAAACATAATAGAAATATCTAATTTTAAATAAAAATATTTGAAATGAGGTATAATTTAAAATTAAAAGTTGAGGGATTGATTCTCAAATAATTTAAAGTTCAAGAGAGGTGTGTACCTTTTAGGTTTATAAGAACTAAAATAAGGATGAAATTTAACTTTACAAAATTTTTAGGGGCATCCTTCAATCTACAAACTTAGGCCCGCCCCTGGACGCAATAAATTCAAGTTGCAGTGGGCTGGAAGGATTTACCATATGTAAGCATCAAGCATGTTGTTGAACAGCAACTATCACGCATGGAACGTAGCATATTATTTTTCTCGAGTGAATCATTGCGCACCAATTCGCGACTCGCGAGGTTGAAGAAAGAAGAACGAGAAATGCGCACGGCTGCACGGTTAACCGTCGCATTAGGTCCATGGGCAGACCAAGTTGCAGATAGGACCGAGAGTCAAAGATCATTCATAGTCGTTTGACAAGTAGCCAGAAAAATTCACTTCGAATAATTCCCTTCTTTGTCTTTTCTCATAACGAATCCTTAATTATTTAAAAGGTAAACTTCATGTAAGTAAAATAATGATATTGTTAAAATATGGCCGTCGCAAGAAAATGGAATAAATTATGGTTAAAATACATTTTGAAATCGTGAACCTGGAGAGAATAAATATTAATCGCTGAAGTGCTTTGGTGCGTAAACGAGGATTGCAATTATTTTCTTTGTTTGTTCCTTGAAAAAGACATTTTATGTGCGCCTGCATGAACATCTCCTGTTTGCTACTCCAAGAAAACAATTATTTACTCAATGTGACAAATTTTGTCAAGTGAAAATTATTAATCACGACTCTGAAAGATTGCAAAATAACGGATGGCGTCTCGTCAAAAAGAAATGTATAATCAGTCAAATATTGATTAATAATTAAATCAATTAATTTTTTTTATTAATTTGGAAATTAATTGTTTTCAACCGTCTTATGTGGATATAAACTAACTCTTCATCCAAAGATTTTAAAATGTCACACTTTTAAAACCATAAAAACAAATATAAATTTTTTAGTGGTCATTGTGACCACCAAAAAACATAAATAATAAAATTTGAATATGAGACTTTTAGATAAGAACTCAAAACTACTATTACTGGCAAATCAAAAAGTTAAAAGTAGCAGTCGAAGCAGAGCTATTATTGAATATTTCTTAAATTAATAATAATAATAATAATCACAGTAAGGCATTGAAAATCACATTTGAACAATGATGAAATATAAGGTCAATATCCTTATATACTAAGCAAAATTTTCAAACTGTTCCTAAATTTTAAAATGCTTTTAATCTATTTTTATTATTTATTATAGTTTCTAATCTATCTTTTTCATCAAAATTTCTATCCAATTTATTAGAAATTAATATTTAAATTAATAGATATAAATTACTTGTGTTAAATAATAAAAATAATTTTCTCAATTATATGCTTAATTTGACCGAAATTTTTAACTAAAAAAAATAAACTATAAACTATATCAAATAATAAACACAAATTGGAAATAATAAACAAAAATTGGAAGCATTTGAAAATGTAAAAATATACTAAAAATTTAACTTATTATATAATGAAAGGTGAGAGATATTAATAAATAGTTTAAAGTAGCTATGGAAGAGGAGCTGTTATTGAATATTTCTCAAATTAATAATAATAATAATAATCACAGTAAGGGCATTGGGTTCTGTTTTGACAATGATTAAATATATGGCAATTATTTATCAGAATGTACCGAATTATTAAGCGAAATGATTATGGATCCAAGAAGATAATATCATTACTGATCTGAAAAACAATAAACTGGGCTTGATCAATTATACGGCCCATTTCTTGTGAGGCTTTGCGTGGTTGATCCTTTTGTGTATCCCTAACTTTGGGGAAGTGCCGAACTGGAGTTGGTCTTCAAAAACCTAGCCCATTAGCAAACTTCACGTTACGTTCAAATGAAAGCCCACCACTGACCAGACTATGTTGTCCAAAATAAGTTCAGAAATAATTGAGTACTTTGAAGTTTTTTTTTTTTTTTTTTTTTAATATAGTAATTTTATCAATGATATAAAATAAATAAATAAATCATAATTTTAGGAATATAAAAAATTAAAAAGAAAATTGCAACGTGTTATATTGAAAAAAAATTAAACAAAAGTGTTTTTATTAAATGATGAATAATAATAATATTTGAAAATTTTAATGATCAACAAATTGAATATTTTTCAGCACAAAAATAAAAGAACATCATTCAAAATTCTCTCTCGAAGGTCGATGCAGAACATGATACGGTAATTAGTACCAAGAAGCATTTTCTTAATTAAGACCCCTGCAGTTGAGTTTCCTAACCTCGCACGAGCTGTCATCCTTTACAATAGCTTTGAGTGAGACAAAGCTTGGTTTGTGAACAATTGCCCGAATGGATGGTTTTATCTCTGGAGCATCTAGCTTCGTGAAACTTTTACTTCTGGAATTATATAGAAACATATCTCGTTGACGCAATAGAAGAAGGTCCCCATTTTCAAACAATTTTGCTAGTTGAAAACAAAAGTTATAAGGAAACCACTTTCTTGCCCAATCGAGTTCTATGGCAAGTATTTTGGTCCAGGATTCGACAACGTACAACATACTCTCTCATCAGCCATATCTGATAAGGTTCCTCATGAAAGGAGTCATAACGAGCGAAATAGATAGAGTTGTTAAAGACCCCCAGGCTGGGGTATTCATAGGTACCGTCAAGTTCAGGAGGCGGCATCCACATTGTTTCAAATTTCTCACTTTCAAAATTGAAAGTGCATAAAGAAGGAAAAAAAACGCTCGTATGATCACATGTTAAGATCAGCGCCAATGAAAGAATCCGCTGACAAATGCTTCAAAAGAAAACCAATCCGAACAAATCCAACCGGCCATATCAAGTTCCGGTACCAGCCCGATGTTTCTCCAGGTGCCAGTGCCAAGTGTGTATACCTCACAATTCAAATCATTATGCTCTACAAAAAATCTAATAGCTTTACACTAGTTAGTCTTGAGACTAAACCCTATTCCACATAAGTCCACTGCAATATCCCTTTCCCTTTCCTCTTCAAAGGGCAGAAGAGTAATGTATTCCCTAGTAACAGAATTCAATATATGAATGAAAGAATCACAAAGAGGATTTCTTCACGTACACAAACCAAGCCATTGCATGAATTGACAAACCTGAGACGATGATTATGTTCAAGTGCTTCTGGCTGCGGTGGTCTCTTCACAAACTCTGCTACAAGATTGAAGGAGTAAGGAGACTCTGATCCTTGAGGGAATTCGAGAAAGTAGAGGTCATCAGTTTTCACACACAACACAAGGGAGGTTGCCCCAGTGGAAGTGGTGGATTGTTTAAATGTATTAGCAAAAATATGGTGTGAGAGAATATCAATCCATGACTTGCAAACGTATTTGCATTCTGCAAGAGTTGTTATTGGGACTTTGCAGAAGATTGCCATGAGGATGTGGCTTGGCAGACGAGATATATAGCATCATCCCATGTTTTTTCGTTGATTGGTGAAGGAAGAGGACGGTAGAGGATCGATAGTTGGGGTTTCTTTTACTGGTTCAGCTGTGGCTTAGAGAATACTTATTTTCTCTTGTTGAAGACTAAAACTTAACCTAAAATTACAGGACTAATTATTTTTATAGTGAAAAGTTGCTATAGTATCGACTCCAACTCTATTATGACGTGGCTTGCACATGCCGAATATTACTAACATAACTGGAAAAATTTTCTCCAAGTTATGTCCTTTGCTGGGTGTTGGCAGCCCAACCAGATGGCAATGTGACGGAAAGAGTTCTTCAGTGTAAAATGAAATTAAGCATAAATTAGTGGTTAATTGCTTGCAGCTAATATAGCCGTTGTAATCCGAAATTACTAAGTTGAAATAAATATGCCAGGATAACATTCACAAATTTAGAAATCATCCAAATTTATTATTATCATAAAAAATTTGGAAAAAAACAACAAAATTCTCTTCCATGATAGGAAAAATTTTAAGTGCAATGTTATATACACCATAATGTACCAGTAGTTGTGTAACGTTGAAGTTCCCAATTTCAATAGTCTTTTAATTTCTATTCATATGTTTCACTCATAAATTTAGCCAACATTTTAATTACAAAACAGGATTCAGTATGTTAAATTGGCTATTAGATATTAAAAAAAAAAAAACTAAAACATTAATTTACTATTCATTGATACTTGTTTAAAACCCTATTTAACTAGACTCATTTTTACTATTTACACGAGACTTATATGCATTCTTTCACTATATTGTAGTATTTTTGTAGTTTTAAATTTTTTTAAAAGCATTTATTATGAAAGTTTTTATGGGATTGCATTTTGATTTGTCTTTTTTAAGCATTGTTTTTTCGGTCCGTAATTTTTTATTCATTTTGGTCTTTGCATGTTAAGAGGAGAAATAAGAGAGGAAACGAGAGAGGGTCGGCAAGGCTCATTTCAATCACTCGATGGTCGAGCTTGCCATCACTTTATTCATCTTGAAAAATAAAATTTGTTTGTGTGGTGACGAAAGATAAAATAGTCGGAGAAGGTAGATCGAAATATGAAAATATTTTGAGTTTTTTTTTTATTTTGATTGGAGTTTTTGTATATTTTGTGAGCATTAAAAGGACTTTTGATGTTCTAAACAAGTTATTTATATGATTTTGAGGTATTTTTGGATAAAAATGGAACTAAAATTAGTTTTAGGTGGCCAAAAGTTAAGAATCTCAAGTTGTCGGTGAAATCGACCTCATCAAAAATTGCTACGATAGTCGAAAACCAAAAACAATTAATTTTTTTGTTTTATGCCTAGGCCGAGGCGCGCAACCCCGGTCCTCCAAGCACGATCGTTAGGGCTCGGTCCTTCGAGTCTAGGTGCACGAGCTTGGTTCTTTAGGCCTAATCATGTAGGCTTGATCCTTGCTTTTTTTTTTTTTTCCTTTGATTTGTTTAATTAAAAATTTATGGGCAAAAAGATTTTTAGAAAAAATAACTTATAAAATAAGTTTTTAGATAAGAATCAATTGATTTTGAAATTTTTTTCTTAGATTTTTATAAATTTTTAGCTAAGGATGTGGATAGAGATAAATAAATAATGTTTTTTAATTGAAAATTTATGGAAAATAGAAAGAATAATCGGTCAAATACAAAATTTTGATTCAAAAATTATAAAATTGACTAAATTTTTATTCATATTTGATTTGATATATTTTAATAGACCCATAATATAACATGGACAATCAAAATGAAATAATTTTTAAAAATAAGTTTATCTATTATGTCCGATTCGTAGCATAGTGCAAGTAAAAAAAACCAATTAATTAACTACATAGATTAGAAATAAACAATAATTTCACAATCGCCATGTTTTTAAAGCTTTTTTTATTTCTTAGACTTCCACCTCATTTGACTAATTATTTGAATTTGATTTCCAAGGCCATGATGGCCGCAAAGAAATTGTAATTTGATTTCCCATTAGTTACCTAGGATTATATGTGGATCTAAGAGCTAAAACAACTCTTCCAATTTTTTTCTTAAAAGGCTCTTTCTCTTCTTCATCTACTTGTAAGAAACAAATTTTTTGTCATATCTATTTTACTTTGGCTAGCTACATCCCCGATTTTGCAATCAATTTAGGTTTAGAATTTTTTTAAAAAAATAGTTTGAGAAGGTTCAATTATTAGAAATAAAATTTTAAGAGTATGAATTTATCAACATCAAGTTTTTATTTTTTTTTTAAATGAAAATTTTTGTTGAAAATTCTGTATGATAAAAAAAATATGAAAAAAATTTAGGTTTTGCTTTTGTTTCTAATTTTTTTATAGTAGTAACAAGCCATCTCTATGGCACTTCAAAAGCAAATTAATCCAATAGCCCTAAATGCTCTACAATGCTATGCAAGAAGATTGGTTTGAGTGGAAAGCTTCTAGTCAATTAAACAAGTGGTTTCAAATTCGAGTCTTTGTATATGAAAAAAAATCTTTGGGTAGTTATCCATGCTTTACGTGCTCATCGGAAAAGTAAGAGATTAGTCCGGATCTTTGGGCTCGGGATACCATGAATGATCAAAAGAAAAAAAGCTCTTTAATGCTATAAAATTATAAGATACAAGTATTTGGGTGAGGAACACCATAAATGAATAGAATATATACAATAGCAAATTAGAAATTCAAGCTTTTACAATGGTCAACTATAAAGTGAAATTCGAAACCGCATCTCTAATCTAATACTCACATAATCAACGAAGCAAAATTTAATTCAAAAATCACTTAGTTGCAAGAACTAAATTAAGATGTAGAATTAAAAAGACACAAATAATAGCAGATAAAAACATATTAGAAAATTTCAAAATCAAAGTATTTGAGAAAGCGTGAGAGAGTACTTATGGTCGCGTCCATTATGTTTGCTAATAATGAGTTTTAAATGCAGGAAAAGAAAGATAGAACACTAGAGAAAAAAAAATCCTATTATAGAAGAGTAAGAAACATGTGATGCAATTAAACCAATTTAAATGTTTTTCAAATGATTTGGCATAAATTTTCACGAGAAACAAACTAACACTCTTCCTCACTACCGTTCGTCGCTCAACTTACTACCTCCTACACCTCTTCCGAGATGGTTGATTTCAATCTTAAAGTCTTTTTTTTTTTTTTTTTTTTTTTGTATATTTAGGCTTTGCTTGTAAGTGATTTTTTTTTATATAACAAATTTTCATGTTTTTATTTAAAATTTTAATTATTAACTAGTTTTGCCATTATTTTGTGAGCGAGGGAGAAAGGTTTGTGTTTCTCCTTTTATATTCTATCGATTCTAGAAATAATTATTATGAATTCCTTTTTTCTTATTACAAAACATAAGGTTAAAAAAAACCTTTCGCACAACATTAACTAAAGGTTCGACTTACACAAATAATGATTTTCTTGTTTTGTTTTTGGTTCATTTTAATGATAATGTTTTTTGTTCCTTCTTTATTTTGTTGAAAAATTCAAAAGACAATTGAAATTAGGTTGCTATATGAGTGTTTTTTAATTTATTTTTCATCAAGACTATCCTTAAACTATGATTCATTTTAAGTAAAGTTAAATAACTAAATTAAATGTTTTTAAAATCCTTTGGCATAAATTTTCTCGAGAAAGATATAAACGTTTTTCTTCATTACTCTTTTTTGCTTAACTCAATAACCCATGCACCTTTTCCGAGATGATTGATTTCAATCTCGGTTACATTATGTCTTCAAATGATTTTTTTTTTAACAATTTTTCTTGTCTTTATTTAAATTTATAATTATCAACTAGTTGTGCCGTTATTCTATGAGTGAGTGTGAATGGTTGTGTTTCTCTTTTTAATTTCTATCTATTCTGGAAAATAATTATTATAAATACCTTTTTTCTTATTTCAAAATTTAAGATCAAAAAACACTTTCGTATGACATTAACTAAAAGCAATTAATTTCAAGCATCACCATTAGTTACCTAGGATTATATGTGGATCTAAAAGCTAAAACAACTCTTCCAATTTTTTCTTCAAAGGCTCTTTCTCTTCTTCATCTACCCGTAATCAACAAAAGCAAAATTTAATTCAAAAATCACTTAGTTGCAAGAACTAAATTAAGATGTAGAATTAAAAAGACACACAAATAATAGCAGATAAAAACATATTAGAAAATTTCAAAAGCAAAGTATTTGAGAAAGTGTGAGAGAGTACTTACGGTCGTGTCCATTATGTTTGCTAATATTGAGTTTTAAATGCAAGAAAAGAAAGATAGATCACTAGAGAAAAAAAAATCCTATTATAGAAGAGTAAGAGACATGTGATGCAATTAAACCAATTTAAATGTTTTTCAAATGATTTGGCATAAATTTTCACGAGAAACAAACTAACACTCTTCCTCATTACCGTTCGTTGCTCAATTTACTACCTCCTACACCTTTTCCGAGATGGTTGATTTCAATCTTAAAGTCCTTATGTCAATTTTTTTTTTTTTTTTTTTTGTATATTTAGGCTTTGCTTGTAAGTGATTTTTTTTTTATAACAAATTTTCATGTTTTTATTTAAAATTTTAATTATTAACTAGTTTTGCCATTATTTTGTGAGCGAGGGAGAAAGGTTTGTGTTTCTCCTTTTATATTCTATCGATTCTAGAAATAATTATTATGAATTCCTTTTTTCTTATTACAAAACATAAGGTTAAAAAAAAACCTTTCGCACAACATTAACTAAAGGTTCGACTTACACAAATAATGATTTTCTTGTTTTGTTTTTGGTTCATTTTAATGATAATGTTTTTTGTTCCTTCTTTATTTTGTTGAAAAATTCAAAAGACAATTGAAATTAGGTTGCTATATGAGTATTTTTTTAATTTATTTTTCATCTAAGACTATCCTTAAACTATGGTTCATTTTAAGTAAAGTTAAATAACTAAATTAAATGTTTTTAAAATCCTTTAGC